TCAGCTAAAGGGCTAATGATAGCTATCAAAACGCCTGCCATTTGAAATAAATAAATGATATCGTAGGTTCATCAAACAAAAAACCGACAAAGAAAATCTCAGATAAGGATCCAATTAGCAGCATTCTAAGGAGATGAAAAAAGAGATGAAGTGCTCAAAATAAATGCGCGGGGCTAGCTCACTGAATGAGATTTTTCTTCACAGCCAAATGAATTGGCTTGGAGTCAGTTGTGCCAATCTTCGGATTAGCGCCAGCTTGAAGCAACAACAGGACGATGGCCTCGGAGACAACAGTGTTGTGAATAGCCAAGTAGAGACACGTCTCACCCGCTGCATTCATTGCATTAATGTCGAGACGATCGGAGTTTTTGAAGCCCATTCGTCGGCAAAATGGGATTGTGGAGGTGGTCGGTGATGCGCTCTCCTTCTCCGGAGGCGGGTTGATTTCAAGTAGGAGCTGGGGGGAAATTATAAACAAAAGATGTTAGTAAAATTATTATTAATAATAAGTTGACATTCTAATGGATCATGGATGACTAAATGCTCTATTGTAAACGGCAATATTAATTAAATTTACCAAGATGCATGAGTAGAAATCGCCCAAGACCATTGAAGGAAGACACTAAATTTTTCCAGCACTCAACCTGATAAGACGAATATTTACTTATCTATGTCGAATGGCAGGCGTTTTGATGGTTATCATTAGCTCTTTAGCTGACTACGGGCTTCACAGAGGAGAGAAACAGCAAAGTCACAAAAAGTGGAGAGGGAGGGAGGGAGGGGGGGGGAACAGAAGAGAGTGATTCACAGATGCAAAAGAGACCGACATAAAGGTAGATAAAAAGGTAGGGTGAGTACTGTGGAAGTGGTCGAACGTGCATTACAGTGGGATCATGGTAGTTTGAAGTCAACTGCCGGTTTATAGACATTTTTGCCGTATGAGTATACGTTACCTGGGGTGTACCACGTGTAGGTAAGTCTATACCACACATTGATAAGGCGCATATAACCTCAAAATAATTTTATTGTAAATGACCAAAACGATCAAAACACCTGCCATTTGAAATAAATAAATAAATATGGAATTAAAGACCCACTATCATACAGCCTAAGGCAAAATTTTTTGACAATTTAACTTTTTGCACAAAACGCAAACATTGTGCACAGTCAGAATGGTGCTATTCCCAATGCGCTATGACAAGTCTCCAAACGGAATTCAAGAGGAGTTGAATGTGCGTAGCATCGAGGTGTGGAAATTAGCTAAGCCGTGTTCACCTCAACTTTTAATTGGCATTTCCATCAGTACAAACCCCATGAACCTAGGTAGCCAATATTGAAGCCGAGGAAACGTGTAAAGATGCATTAAGTTGTGATTCAATAACCAACCCCCCTTAAAGCGTCACAAGTAGGGGGGTAGAATTTGAAGGGTATGAATGAAAATGAATGGGATCTACATGGGTGATTAAATCTACCACTGGAATTCACCTCATAGATAGGGCAAAACAAGCTTTCAATCAACAGAAGACAAATGATAGAGATGGCGGCCTCGTAAACAGGCTTCTTACTCCGCCTCCAACTAGAATAACTAAGCCTTAGTGAGGGACTTCACAAGATGGAGCACGCACGCGTTTAATCAACAGCATACACACACATACGCATACACACACACATGCAATGAATGCAAAAGTCACTAATACCAAAGTATACGTGTGGGTAGTGGAGACTAAATTACTGACAGACAACGACGGTGACGACGACGACAGCTGAAGGAAAATATCTACATACACACACACAAGTTGATCTCAGCAGGTGTGTGTGTGTGCGTGCGTGTGTGCGGGTGGCGATCAAGTGTGTGCAAAGCGACTTGGTGGCTAATGGCCCGTCTATTTTCGCATAACTTTCAGCAAAATTATTGCACAAACCCATTGATACGTAATATTGCTATTACACATAAAAAATGTTAACTAAATGTGGAAGAAGCCGATTGTGACATGAAGGTAATTTCGGCGACGTAGAATCTACTCCGTGGCATAATTCAAAAATGTGATTGTAAGTACGAGCAATATACATGTTAGAATGACATTTACCTTACTGGTAGATTACTTGGACTGAGCTTAGACTAATTGTTCAGACTGCTAAGAGATGGAAAATATCGATTATATTTGAAGTAAAACAACAATAGCCACCACAGCTTTTATCAACATTTTTAAGGGCTCGCATTTACCCTCTGAGGAAAATTTCTCAAGAGAGGTGTAGCATTCAAGCAATTATAGTTGTACTAGAACCGAAATGGCATCCAAATGATATGGAATGTAAAACGTCTTTGAAATCGACTATCATTGTATACTACAGGGTTTCCAATTTGAAGCACTTTCAAGGATCTCACAGGAAATTCAAGAAAGATAACAATCTCCACCGTAAAGAGTGCATTGGAAGGCTTACATCACTAAATTCTCACTAACAGCTTACAAAACAAACAAGTTTGGAGATACAAAACCCGAAATAGAAGACATTTGCAGGCTATTTGGCGGTTGTCTAGCCAATCTTCAGGGTGAATATAAACAGTAATCTCCAGAAACGATGTGGATGATGCATTTAACGTCAACCGCAATTCACAGGATTGCAAAAGGAACATACTGGAAACGCTTTAAGATGAGTCAGTTCCTCCTGATTTGGGATGTTAAAATGTGGAGGGGGAGTCACAATCAATTACCACGATTCCATTGAAGCACGATCAACCAAATGGGCTGCTTGTGGTGGTCGTGGACAAGGCTCTTGCTCTAAATATGCAATCCTGCGCGTGTAGACTACTGAGGGCATTTCCGAGTTGGGTAAATGAAAGAGATTGAGAAATGCAAAAAAGTGGAATTTTGGAGATTTTTAGAATAGCCGACGAAATAGGACGGCATTTAGTGCCCTAATATACCAATAACCGGATAGATAACCACTTGAAAAGGAAATACGAGTGCTTGAATTGGCATTTCATGATTGCCGAGAGTAGGCAAATGATCTAATGTTGGGGGAGGGGGGGGGGTAATTGTAATGAAGACAAACTAATTCGGCATTTCAAAGTACACAGGAGTTGTATTTTTATGAAACTAAAGTTTAATTGCATAATTATGAGCAGCCGCATTTTAGGTAGGCAAAAGACGGACAATTTGTCCAAACTCGCTCGTCAACCAACTCAGAGGCACATCCAAACAACCCCCCCCCCCACCCACTCCCCTCCGAGTGGAATGGCCAACTGCGTTGGTGCGTTCAGATCAGTGAAACACAATGACCTCACGCTAACCAAGCCAACTATCGTTAGTACTACCCTTAATCAGTTTTAGAAATCCAACAGCTCCGCGCCACAAACACACACACATCTCATTCTAATTGTCCGAATTCGCGAAAAGCAGGGGCAAACAGGTGACGTCTGAACAAGATCTTTGCCAATAATAAAGCGCAGCTTCCACGTAAACAAATGTTTGAACAAAATTGAAGGGGGGGGGGGAGGGGGGCGGTGGAATTGTTAAAAAAAAACAAAAAAAAGAAGTAGAAATATTGTCTTTTTTCAGCACCAAAACAGATGACCAAGTGCATAAAAATCAGCATAAACATTTAAAGCAATTAAAACTTTGGTTCAAAACCCCCCCCCCCCCACCCCCCTAAATGGAACGTTACAGGAAAGAACGGTGTTTAAGTTAAGAGGATTAATTTTACTAGTATAATTCAACCTAGGTGACAATTTATGTTTACGCAACTTGGCATACAAAAACGACAATAACAAGGAGAACATTCCTGAAAAGTACATCACCTGATCAAATTGACTGTTTCAGGTTTAAGTGATTGGATAATCTCTACTCCGCGAATCCAATGGAAATAAGATTTTCAGACAGAGCCTAAATCAACTGGTCTCAATATGATCCATTTCAAAGAGCCGAAAGCAACCACGAGTATGAAGGCGTTGACTACTAGCTACACACGGCAGAGTTCGGAGAGCCAAATTACCTTCTACAAACTTAAGCACCCACCCACGCAGGGCCTTCGAGAGGCCTTCCAGTAATTAGTTCGCAACTTGATTGTTTAGTTCCTACCTTGTCAATACTCCTACTGAATTTAATATTCACGCAATATTCTGATCTCCAAACAACTATTTCTGTTACAACCTAGTGGTAAATATACCCTATACTCGTTTTCGCCAAATTACCGGGTTATTTGGTTTCAAAAAGTAGTTTCATGAAATGGAATTTCCGTTTAACCGCCCTGGGCGGATTTTCGGATAACCCCGGTAACTATCACCACCCACTTCTGTTTGTCTCAAGCACCACCCCACTCCCTCCCTCTTTCTCTAATACATTTTCGGGTAATACAAAGTAGAACTAAAACTCCCTATTTACTTCTTGATTTCAAAAAATATACATGATAACTTTTATGCCCGTGAAAGAAAAAAAAAGAGATTTAATAATGGGAAATACCCTGCACTGCATTTTGGCTTAATTAAAAGGAAACACTGATTGTCTGTCGGACTAAGGAAATAAAAGAGAGAACACAAGGAGTACAAACAAAATAGAGAAAACAGGACTTTGAATTCATAGTACAGAAGCAAACGAAGAGACAAGTCGATTCACCGTGTATATAAAGAGAAGGAGGGGTTGACAAACAAAAATGATCACAAAATCAAAGTTTGATTTTTAAAAGCTATAAAATTAATTACTCAACGTGCAAGTTCTAATGGCTCATACTTCAACAACTCACCTGGAGTAGTTCCAGCGAGCTAAGACCCACTGCTGTGTGGAGAACAGTGTTTCCAGCGTGATCAGAGACATCGAGTTTAATTTCTGGTAGACTGAGTAGTGCCTGAACGGCTTTCGTGCTTTCTGTCTTCACGGCCACTTGAAGCGGTGTTTCTCCAGTGTCGTCATCTGCTTCATTCAAGTGGCTACAATTTGCGGTAGGAGGCAAGAAAACTCGATTAGTTAATTCAATTGTAAATGCAAATTAATTAATTAGAGTTAATTCTTTTGTCGTTGAAAAAAAAACAAGATAAAAGTAAACTCGGGGCAGGAGAAATGCCATGTAACCAAAATAATGGCCTTTCCATTTACAAGAATTGAGAAAACAAATGTTAAGGAATTAGACAGAGTTGGAAAAAGGACAATCAATAAACCACTTAAAGGATAATTACTACCTAGGAGAAGTATTGACGGAGGAGAAAAAAAGATTAAAGACAAGATCAAATAACAGAGCAGACATGAGGTAGAATTATAACGACCATAAGCATAAAGGGTGTGGGAAGGACTTACCTCCTCGTGGTGCACCCTGGGCAACGTAAATTAATCATACGGCAAAAAGTCTATTAACCGGTAGTTGACTTCTCACTTCAAACTACCATCACCCCACTGTATGTCATATTCAACCCCTATCACAGTACTCATCTTTCCCTTTCTGAGCCTTGGTGTCTGTCTGTTTCTTTTACATTTGTGAATCACTCTTCTGTTCTCCCTCCCGAATTCTTCTCATTTTGATGTTCCTCCTCCCCTCTGTGAAGTCCGAAGTCAACTAAAGGGCTATTGATAACTATCAAAACGCCTGCCATTTGTTATAAACATGAGGTAAAAATTACAACTACCATAAGCATAAAGAAGCCAAGTTCGCCTATTGTGGGATCTCAAGTCAACAAAAATGATTCCCACTTATGAAAATTTCAGAAAATTTACTGGCCCCATCAGACACTCTCTCTCGAACCGCGCGGTATACGCAAGGATCAGGTCCATAACACCTTCGTTGTATCATCTTAATGAGGCGTACAACAATCTAAAAAATTACTTTCTTTCAACTTTATTTGCACGCAATGGCGCTATAACTTTTCTCTAAGGTGGATGAATCATTTGGTTACAAGGACATGAGAAATGTTGACCCTTAATCTCTAAGGCCACGATGCCTTCCCATTCATGCGGTAAGTACACCCGGTTTAGAAGCAAAGAAGAGTTGAGCTTATGGTAATGATTAAAAAACCTTTATATTATCAGCAATGTGATGGAAGTTGGTGAAATTGTTATTCTAGTACTTAAGATCCTGGTAGCATGAGAGAGAGAGTTTGTGAAAACAACATGTTTACACATTTTCAAACAGGGTTATTCATGCTTTCTACTATGCTTCCAAATTGTTTTGAGAGTTGCAGTATTAGTGCTTCTGCAACTTCCTAACGTTCCATAAAGGTGTTCAAGACGAAACACAATGTTTGAAAATGAATAAAATAATGTGCAAAAAATGAAAACAATTACCAAAGGAAAATCAGCGATATAAGTTTTATTACAAATTTCTGAGTGAAAGGAACTATGATCTACTTTATAAGCTGAAAAATGAAAAAAATTGACTTTGACAATTTTCGCCCATCTTTTGCATTGGAACCAAGGTATATTGATTTCATATGTGTAAGGAAATTTTGCCAAACCAATGGAACGAATTCGTGAAATGAATCATTATTTGCTATAAACCGGGGTTGTGCGATAGATTTACCTCCACGTGGTGCATCCAGTCCAACGTATACTCATACGGCAAAAACGTGGTGCACCCTGGGCAACGCATACTCATACGGCAAAATGTGGTGCATCCAGTCCAACGTATACTCATACGGCAAAGAAGTCTATAAACCGGCAGTTGACTTCTGACTTCAAACTACCATGACCAATTTGTATGCCATATTCGACCGCTTCCCGAGTACTTATCTTACCTATTCTTTGTCTCCTTTAAATCTGTGAAACATTATTCTATCCCCCTCTCCACTTTTTGTCACTTTGATGTTCTTCCTCCTCTCTGTGAAGCCCGAAGTCAGCTAAAGGGCTAATGATAAATAAATAAATAAATCAAACCGGAAAAGGTCTTTTGTGGAGGCGAACAAAAGGCAAAATAATTAGTCGAAGAAAACAATGAGCGAACTTTCCAATTCCGAGAGAATTTTAGAGGATTAGGCGTATTAATGCATTCAACTGCAATTTGAATGGCCAGGAATTTTCCTGATAGGATTACTGAACAACTTGGAAAGCGACTGGAGCAGACAAAGTCAGAAATAACTGCCTTGGGATTATAGAAATATTATTCATTTTATTCAAGCTTTACTTAAATTGAAAGGAATCGATAAATATCATGACCTAAAAAAGAGACCAGTGGTTAAGAAAACATTTCTGACTTCAGATACATTAGATGAGAGAAAACCCAATAAACAGGAGTAAATAGGGGCACAAGATGACAATAACACTGACCCATAAACAGAAATGTGAAAAGAAAAAATAACTTAATCCAGGAAAAACAATGATTTTGTGAATCAATTAGAAAAGTAATTTTAAACGACATCTATAGTTTTAAAGGCTTCAGAAATTTGCAGAAAAAGTGAAATTGATAGTTAATTCAGCTATTTGGAACTATGAACAATTGCAGAATAAGAGCAAAGTAAAAAATAAAGCTTATTAATCATTAAAGTGCGTTCTTATTGAGAAGTAAGTAAATTAAGATAAATATTCCAATCACGTGAAGTACACATAGAGTATAATTAAATTAGCACACTTTTAATCAATAATATGACATTACGATTCGATAGCCACATATAAATTAACTAATAACCTTACACTGAGATTTTACGATGCTGAAAAGCTTCAGCAAAGTTTAATGCAGCAGCAAAATGCGCGAGAGTCCATTTTGGTTTACGTCTGCACATTGAAGTAACCTTCTCTAACCAGGCTTTGTCAATTTTCACTTCATGAACAGCGCAGATCTTTGTCAATTCGTGAAATATTTCAGCGAATCTAACAAATAGGACCAGTCCCTCATTGATATCGCCTTGAAAACGGAAAAGGCTGGAGGAAAATGTTAAGAAAACGGTAATAAATTTTACCTGAAGACCCTGCGTTCCTTTGAAGGAGTATCAAGTGATGGTGCAGGTGGAATGTAGATCATATCATAATAATTTGCTATTTTATAGAATATGAAGGAATGAAAGAGCTCATGTACTCTTTCAAATCTAATGGTTGAATAATGAGATTTAGTAAAATTTAGACATACAAGTAAAAATCGGCTGCATATTGTTCATAAGGGTATTCTTCAACTTTATTGGGCTGAATCGTATAAAGAGCTGTCTTTACGATATTGGTTACAAAAGTTCCAAGACGGGACATTTCCTGAAGCGAACATTCAAAAGATCAGAAGACATTAAAAAACCTAAAAGACCCGTAAACAATTGACCAAGGCATTAAAGCCAAATCCCAAAGGCAATTAAGTTAAGTTGGGTTAAAAGTTAAGAAAAACAGAAAAATAACCTCCATCTCTCACGGGACGGGGTTCTCAATAGTGTCTATTGAGAAAAGCAGTCAATCAAAAAGTGATGAAAAATTCCAACCAATGAAAGCACGACCTTCTGCGATTTCGATTATCAAGGTTATTTGGTAAATCGTGAATAACTGCAGAACTTGAAATAATATTCTAATGCGTTAAATAACTGGCATTAAAAAGAAAACGAATTAATAAATAGGATATTTAAAGCTCTTCACATATAAATAACGCGAAATTTAAAAAATCCAAGGATATATATATATATATACGAACATTAGAATATAATATGAAAATGTTTTTTACGAAAACAATTTATTGCGACAGCCCAAACATGGCACTAGTAATTGGCAATATTAAAACCAACGTTAGCGTTTAACAAATATTTTTAAAAAAGTGGTGGCATTATTCCTAGGTTCATTTGTATACTCTGTTAACTACAAGTTTGCAAGCTGTAGACCGGCCAATATCTTTCCACGCAATTAAGGCCTTAACCAGGAGAGAATTCAAGACTTCAAAAAAGCAATTAACTCACAGCACTGTTAAGGGAGAAGCAGTAGACTGTGGCACTCGCCAAAATATACGACTAGCCACTAACCGAAGCTGTGGCAGATTTTAAACTGCGTACCAGACACGATTATCTGGCGAAGTACTTTCGCAGAATAGCAGCATGTGCCAAACCAATTTGCCCACCTATGAGACCTACAGAAGAAAAAGAATAAGGCCCTCTCAATACAATGTTCAACCCCACAGACAACGGCAGAAAACCAGAGATACTGGGAAGCCAGAAGTTAACTAATAGTCTGCCTGATATATATATATATATATATATATATATATAATAGAAATATATTCAGATTTGCCCTCAAGAGTCATTTTCAATTCAGAAAAAATTGATCAATTGTGCTTGTCATCTATTGAGTAACTTCATTTGTTCAAATAGATATTTGGCATATCTACATTAGGGAGTACTCAGCACAAGGAATTGAGCAGTACTAAAAACCTTGCCGTGTGTTATTCATCAGGCGTATTTTTCTCAAATTTTAATTGATCAAATAAATTAGTAGAAATTCGACTCATATTAACGTATTTAAAAATTCTATATTTTTTGAGCGCAATTTACCTTAACAGCACATTACAAAATCACTCTAAATATATTTCATATTTTGTATGGACCTATATGGATTTGTAAAATCAAAGTCATCAGATAGTTTGAACATGGCAAATTGAAAGTTATCCCCATACTAAATTAATTTGAATGATGAATTTTTATTTTGTTCATAAACAAACTGTTTATTACATATTTATTTAACTTGCAGTGACATTTAAAGTTTATGTTTATTAAGGAAATTAAAATATGAATAATATTATTGAGTTTATTTCGACGTAGTTGAATTTTATCTTTTATATTTTGTTTAGATTAATACTATTGCATCATTAATTAGAGGACTTTAAATGGCACTTTTTTAAATAAAGCCTTATTTTCTCGTGGCATTTTGATTTTATTCTTTAACGCTATTCATAATGCGTGATGTGAGTTTCTTTGATATTCTTAATTTAATTTAATGTTAATTTTGCTCTTTTAAAAATCTTTATATTCTCACTGGGGCTCTGTTTCATTTCATTTTTCAAATTTTGAAGGAATTGCCACGTTCAACAAATTAAAGTCTCAAAGAATTTCATCTCTGCGTATATTCGTTATACCAATCAAAAACCTCTTGATGGTTGCCTTTTTCTTACTGCCCAAGATGTACAAAATCCCCTCTCAACATTTATCAACAATTCATATAATGGAGGTAGAGTTTATCTTTCAGATAACTTCTTAAAACGCGAATTCCGGTCAAATAAAAATTTATTCCCACCTAGACTATTTAAATATATGTATTTTAAATCATTTTATTAGTAAATATTGTTTTCAAAGGAAATTTTATTTATTTTCTAGATGAAAATGAATAATTTATTTGAAACGGTACAGCGTTTAGAGGACTCAAACAAACACTTGTGGAATAAAGTTTCTAGCTTATCGCTTTGTGTCAAGGAGAATGATATCATGGATGCCAATTGCAATTTTATCAACCATCAAAACTCTTCGCTTTGTAAAAATGGAGAAGAAATGTTAATTCCTTACTTACAATTTTCCAATCCTATCCCATATATTACCAAACTGGACCACAGAAATCCTGCATCTGTCCGCATATCACCGTCTCTATTGGAAACCAATAAGTATATATTTTTGATTTTGTACATATGTATTTGGATTTTATTTGTGATTAAAGCTTACAAGTTGAAAATTCTTTATAGCATACAGAACTCCTTTATTTTGTCGTCATTTTCAATGGTAATTACAGTAAATCTTGAGGAAAAATCATGTCGTTTATGCTATTTCATAAGGATTTAGACAAATAAGTTGAAATTTTTCCCCGAATGTATTATTTAGGAATCTATATGCTTGAATTCGTCATACATTTTAATTTAAAACCCTTTAGTGGAAATAACTGGTCCAAAACATACAGATTTATTATGAACCCGCGTGAATTTCAAAAAAACCCGCATTCAATTAAATGTGCTGGTTAAAATTCCTTGTTCTCCTATATTTTCCCATTGAACACACCTACGCGGTGATAGATCAAACTAAGGTCACTCTGTTCTCACACTTATTCTGTTGCTAATATAACACTTATGATCACCTTTCGGGGATATCAAATGTTAATTACGATGATATAAAACAAACCGATGAGAACGAAGGGAGGAGGGGGGGGGGAGAGGGGGAGAGGGGAGATAGAAGTGCTTTTGATTATGTTCTCCTTAAACTTCACCCATGTTTATTCTGAAAGATAGTAGATTTGTTGTGTAAATGAACTAAACGCGTTATTATAGTCGAGAACAAGATAATATCTGACAGATAGCTTTCGCAAAAATATTATGATTGTGTACTTATTGATAATTCAACTCCTCCCTCCCCCCATCATTAGCCAGTCTTTACCAATGAATTTGACCATTCCATTTACTGAACATGTGCCGTCGACATTGAACCCATGATTTCTAATTTTGCAGACGAGTGCTTAACGCATTGTATCAACAGAAAAAACCCAATTCACTGAATTACTACGAGAGTATAAAGCATATCAAGAACGTGAAACTTTGGAATAATTTACATGGGGTTATGATGAGATCGTATTTCAACACAATTTTACAAGAAAGGAGACGCTATTTCGAGTCATTTTGATTTTGAGCTTTGTTGTGTATGTATTAATTTTATCTACACTCAATCATATACCGCAATATTATTGTATCCTTTTTGAGGAAAAACGATGCAATTGAACCAGAACTTGAATTTTTCTATTCTAGAGCCAGTTTAAGTCGGCATCAAGGCAATCGCAAGTCTAATTATGTGTTTCCAGGCCCTCAAGCAACGACAATATTCATGAAACCTGAGAGTATGTCTATGCTATCAACTTCAAACGGTGAGTTCCTTGAAACCCTCTCAAAATAAGACGATTTTTTCCTTGACATATGCGTTCATTGTGTTGTCCTTTTTTCTACTTCTAGGCGGAGATCAACAAAATCAAACAAACAAGGAGGATTTACAGAAATTCCTAGTGAGAACAGTCGCTCATTTTCATCCACAAGGAATTAACTCGGTGCAAATGGAATGCTCAAAAAAATTTTCAGATCTCTCGAATGTATGAAAGCATGAAGTCGTCTACCATCAATATATTTTAGTCTGTTTTTTTTAATAACTATGATTTAGGCAGGAAAAACATAGGTAAAATCTAAGGAGACTGAAAAATTGGGAGTGATCGACTCTGACCTCTTTGGTCCTAAAATCGTCATTCTTTCAAACTTTTGAAAGCGCCGACCTGTATTTGTAATAATTGTGGGTTTCCAAGAGTGAGGATGGGTATTCGTTGACACTTTTCTAACTCCGTCTAGTCCATTTTCTTATGACTGTGAAAGAAGGTCTGGCCATAAAGCGTTGTTGTCATTTTTAGAGTCACATATTTGTCAATTTGTGTTAATTAATAAATCCTTTTTTTCTCAATGACAAAATGGCAGGGTAATATCATGCTCATATTTTGTGTTACTTATTGGTTGTTTTTAACTGAGTCATATTCTTGTTGTAACTAGGATATTACAATATTTACTGGGAGTCTTCGATCAAGCTCTCAGGAATCAGATTCGTCTGACTTCGGATATCAACGATCACAGGCAGAAAAGCGATTTGTGTCAAATCTACAAATTCCTTACCAACGTGAGTATTTTTGCATGAAATCTTTAACTTTCTTGCCTTAAATGTGGGGTTTTGGCTCTGTCAAGCTGGTTCTCTCTCCGTTATACTCGTGGGACACTCTCAGTTCAAGTAATCTGTGTGGAAATGTGGCAGAAGCTTACTAAATAGGCTAAAGGAAACAGATTTTGAGTGCAATATTTGCCGTTTCTATGGGTATTCTGATGAGATAAGAATGTGCACACGCACACACACACACACACATTGTTCACAATCTGAAGCATATGTTGAGTGGAATTTCTTGTGCATCATCAGTATCGCCTGCGTATAAACATTTCCAGTTCTGTATCGTCAACTTTCCTATAGCCCAGTTTTTGTCAAATTTACAGTATTAAGTCATGCCACTTAATATCTATTTATTATATAAATTGGAGAAATCGGTTAATAGCAAGTTTAGTGCTTTAATTCGATACCACCAAACCAACCTTTCCCTGTTTTGCATTTTCTGAAAAGTACAATATACACGATAACTGCGTATTATAACAACAATTGATTAGTATTTGAGGGAATTTTTTGCCTTTACTTCTGATGAAATCATTTTGGGGAGGAATTGAATGGTCTGGAAAACGAAGAAAAAGACTAATATCGAGGAATACGGGCGGAAGGTATGCCGACCGCAGGCTTAAGTCTGCCCAATGAAGGGACTTGCAGAGTAAGAAAGTTTTATATCAAATGGCAGGCGTTGTGATAGTGATCATTAGCCCTTTAGCTGGATCCTTTTATACGTATTTTCA